AAAAACTCACTACTCACCACACCTATATATCAAACACAAACACTGAACCAATTTACGGTGTGGAACGATCGACTAATCATAAAAAACAAACGTTTTTGAACCCCTTCTGGGCTCTTCATCAGGTTTTATCTCATAAAATTCGATTGACGAATGTTGTTCAAATAATTTCGTTCTTGCGATCGAATAGTTCTTTTAAAATTCTACGTCGCGCATGCCTTTGAATTTAACGAATGCCGTTAACGATAGCCATTAACGATGTTCAAATAAGTTCGTTCTTGAGTTCGAACAATGCTGTAAAATTATCCGATGCGCATGCGTGACATGCCTGCCTTCTCAGTTATAACGAGCGGTTAAAGCGTGCTATGTATCAACTCTTGCCAGGCCATCGACAAAAGCATCTCCTCTTTAAAATTTATGCACGTGGTTTCGATAGAGGATTTAAAGATGTGCATCGCCTCTAACCATTTGAGATGATCATTGGGAGGCGCACCGAGGAGGAGATTGGCCCTAGTAAAGTCAGCAACTATGCCCGGGTCTGTTGCGCATGTTGCGAGGGCCATGTTGGTTCTTCCGTGACGAATGTCTGCCTGATGTTCCTGCATTCTGACACCTATGGATCTTTTAGTAGAGCCTATATATACTAAGTCCTTATTGAATCTATTATCTCTCAAAGGGACACTATAGACTCCCGGTCTTCTGTTAGGGTTAGGGGGGGTCCTTCCCATTCGTTAAGATGATAAAAATAGTAGGACACCTCCTGTAAGCAATACGTATATGGCGTATCTTGGCAATCCTATCATATATAGCCCTTACATATGGGTTAAAGGTGACGGGTATTCGTTACGTATTGCTTACAGGAGGTGTCCTGCTATTTTTAACCATCTTAACGAATGGGAAGGACCCCCTAACCCTAACAGAAGACCAGGAGTCTATAGTGTCCCTTTGAGAGATAATAGATTCAATAAGGACTTAGTATATATAGGCTCTACTAAAAGATCCATAGGTGTCAGAAGGCAGGAACATCAGGCAGACATTCGTCACGGAAGAACCAACATGGCCCTCGCAACATGCGCAACAGACCCGGGCATAGTTGCTGACTTTACTAGGGCCAATCTCCTCCTCGGTGCGCCTCCCAATGATCATCTCAAATGGTTAGAGGCGATGCACATCTTTAAATCCTCTATCGAAACCACTTGCATAAATTTTAAAGAGGAGATGCTTTTGTCGATGGCCTGGCAAGAGTTGATACATAGCACGCTTTAACCGCTCGTTATAACTGAGAAGGCAGGCATGTCACGCATGCGCATCGGATAATTTTACAGCATTGTTCGAACTCAAGAACGAACTTATTTGAACATCGTTAATGGCTATCGTTAACGGCATTCGTTAAATTCAAAGGCATGCGCGACGTAGAATTTTAAAAGAACTATTCGATCGCAAGAACGAAATTATTTGAACAACATTCGTCAATCGAATTTTATGAGATAAAACCTGATGAAGAGCCCAGAAGGGGTTCAAAAACGTTTGTTTTTTATGATTAGTCGATCGTTCCACACCGTAAATTGGTTCAGTGTTTGTGTTTGAATCATCCTAGTTAATCTGGAGATTAGCTAGATAATGTACACATTAACAGCTTTCGAACTTTAGTGGTAACATATATACTAGATATGTGGATGATGATTTTACCTTTTGGAAGAGGAAATAGGATTTAAATTCATTCTTCAATAAGATCAATGACAATTCTTTTGCTCTGTTTTGCTATTTAAAGCAAGAAAATGATTTTTGGACTTTACTTCTCTATCCTTGAGGATGAAATATAAGACTAATGTACAGGAGCTGAAAGCCCTACATTTTACATTTCAGAAGCTTTACATGATCCTTTATGATGTAAGGTATCAGCATTTGAGGCACTGATAAGATATGCATAGCTGCATTCTCTGGCTTTGTTGATACTGACAAGAAATTGAGATATATTAGGGAGATGGCTTATCAACATGGATATTGGTTAAAGTATGGTTGATAGTCTAATAGGAACATTTGAGAAATTTTCAGGAAAGAAAAGAATGCACAGAAGAGCTGATAAGTGTCTAGGTAAAGCAGAAGGCTGAGTAAAATACAATATAAGAGGATCCCACTGGTTTTTCCAGTTAATAGGGAATGATAAGGACCATATAAGCTTGACAAATAGACCAGTTGTTCTGTTTGGATGGAGGACAACAGGCTAGGGATAGAAAGAATATATAGTATATTGGAATGACATTCAGAATGTTAAAGGAAAGAATGAAGGAACATGTATATTTGGTTTCCTCACCAAATACAAATGTTTGCTTCATACAACAAACTTTTAATATTGTTGCATGAAGCAAAATATTATTACAATATTTTCATGGCTATCTACTATATATTAAAGAAAATGCAAGTTTATTTAGTCTCTAATAAAAATATTATACAAACTTATGTAGTGCATTACTTCTTACAAACATATTTTTTTAATAAACTCATTAAATGTTTTTAGTAAGGTAATTGGAGTTTGTAATGTTTAATTTCATACTAAAATTGTGGATTAATGGGTAAATAGGTGTTTTGTAGTATTTTAGTTATTTGAGAAAATTAGTTGAAATTATTCAGATGGATTAAGAACAGGTTGCAATTTTTCCTGTAGGAAACAGTGGAGAAAATTTTCCAATATACAAATTCCTCAGCTTTGAATTGTTTTAATAAGTCAATAGATTTGGATAACAAAGTATGGCTTTGCTTGCAATAAAATTATTCAAAAGTTTTAAATTTTAAAATTTTATTTATAATCTTTTATTATAGTGTTTATCATTTCTACTTTAAATATTTTAATTAATTTTTTTTTCTTTTTGTAGGAAAACCTGTGGTTATATGTCAAATTTAATTTGAAGATGAAAATAAAACACACCTCTTTTTCTAAGTTTACACAACAATGGCATTTGTTTGCAAAACGGTTCCCTTGTCCAAATGTCTGTAATAACTTTCATAACAGCAATAAAGATGTGAAATCTAATTTAAAATCTTTTACTTCTGCTCAAATAAGAAAAACGTTTCTCAATTACTTTATTCAAAAAGAACATCATTTTGTTCCTTCAAGTTCTGTGATATTAAATCAAGATAAGAGTTTATTGTTTGTAAATGCTGGCATGAACCAGGTATTAATCATACATCAAAACTTTTTAATTTTATTTCTTTAACAATTTAATACAATGTTGATTTATATATATTTTTAAAACATTATAGTTTAAACCAATCCTTTTGGGAACAGCATCAAAAGATAGTTATTTGTCATCATTAAAGAGAGTAACTAATACTCAGAAATGTATTAGAGTTGGTGGGAAACATAATGATATTGATGATGTTGGAAGGGATGGTTATCATCAAACATTTTTTGAAATGCTTGGTAATTGGTCATTTGGAGATTATTTTAAGGTATTTATAAATTTTAAAATATTAAAATTTATTAAGGTAAAACATGAATGCACTGTATGCAGAATATGTTCTAATGATAGCAATTTGGATTATTTGGTAAATATTGTACATTTGGAAATTAAGTTATTACAGTAGAGCCTCGAAAACTCGGCCTAATGTGGACCGAAGGGTGGCTGAGTTTGTGAAAATGCCGGGTTATCGGGAATGGGGTTAAAAAAGGATAAGTATGCATGTTTCCTCAGAAAACATTGTACTGTACTTGTATGTATTGTTTGCTTGAGAATACAACAGAGAATAAACTGCCCAAATACCCTTAAACAAAGGAAAAGTATGTCCTTTATGAAGGCATAGAGCCTTTACTACATGAAAATGAAAATTAATGAATACACTGTGTACAGTAATTTACCTGATAAGACAGACCTCAGAAAAATACTGAGGCATAAAGCTGTCTATAATGAAAATGAATTGACTAAGGATTTTTTTGCCCTGCCAGGATGTGGCCGGGTTATCGAGTGCCGAGTTTTCGAGGCTCTACTGTACTATTAAAAACAAAAATTCACATTTAAAATAGTACAGAAGAAGCTGTTCTTCAGGTTAAGCATTAACCCTCTCCCTCTCCCCCGCAGGGGGGAATTTTGAAAAATCCCTTCATTAGTGTGCATTTTTATGACATACCCTAACTGTGTATCAAATTTCACCTCTTTAGGTTCAGTGGTTTGCTCTGGATGGTGATGAATCAGTCAGTCAGTCAGGACATGTAATCTATATATATTTTATATATATAGATGAGAAATCTAGCTTAAGTTTACATAAGATTTCAAAAAAAAAATTTTAAACTTAAAATATTATCCAAATTTAAGTATAAACTGGAAAGAATTAGGAATTTTATCTATTTATAATGAAGTAACAGATTTATTCACTTATCCCTTTTTTTGTGTGGGGGATACATTCGAAAGAATTTGTGTAAAACAAAAATCATGTAAAAAAAGTACAATACATACAACTTGTAGAAATTGCTTCATAACATCCAGAACTTCAATGAAATGAAAAAATAAGCAATGTACAAAAGAAACACAAGCTTTTTTTATTCTACCATCATTTATCATTTATATTATTTGTACATAAACATAGTAAATACAAGGTAGCATAGAAACATAAAATCAACATACAGTAAGTACTCTCTGATATACATATAGTACTGTACTATGCTTAAAAAAGATAAATGAAGTCTTGATTTCAACAAAAAGAGTAACTTTTTAACAATAAAAATTTTAGCAAAAAGATAAATTTAAAAATTTTCAAATAAGCTGTTTTTTTCGTGTGTAAAAAAATTGATTACATTAAAAGTGGGATAAATGTACTTCTTGATCTGTAAAATTAAATTATTTAAGGCTATTTTTCTGACTTGTGAGTGTTTACTTCTAACCAACTTATACAATAAATCTTTTCATTATATCTGTTAATCCTTACTTGCCAGTAAGACATTCTTTAAATTTATGTTTACGGTCAAATGAAACACATAAAAATTGTTTTGAACATGTGAATATATGAGTACATGTGAACATGTGAATATAGCCTTCAGTTTATTAAAGATTGAAATGTAAGATTTCTATGTTTCCTCTGACAGACACACTATTCCATTCCAAATGATTTTGTTGCCAATAAAATTTCTTTAATTTATAATGCAGTGTGTATATAATATCATATGCAGGTGATAAACATTAATTCATAAAGAAGTTTCATTGGCAACAAAAATAGAAATTCTTTTAAAAAATTTAAATTTTCTCGTTTTTAAANATACTGAATTTTTACTGAAAATATTTATTTACTGAACAATGCATTCATAGTTTTGTGATAAAGAAAAAGTTTTTGTAGTTTCTATTTAGATAAAAATAAACAATGAAAAATTAAAATAGATGTTTTAATTGTTATTTCTTATTTTACTTTTTAGTAGATTTATTATTTAAGTTTCTATAACTTTTTCCCAGTTTTACTTTCAGTAAATAACAAAGATAAGTCATTTGATTTGCTCTGAGATAAATTTTTTCTATAATAGTTTTTTGACAGAAAATGAATATTTCCCAGTTTTATTAACTGATATTGTTAAAAATGTTTTAATAATTTACACATTAGAAAAGTTATCATAAAACTTTTTTTTAATGTAGTTAATTGTGTTTTTATATATTATATTTTATGTATCTGAGTATTTTGGGGATGAAATCTATTAATTGGGAGGCAAAATCTTTTGTCATATACATGAAATTTCCATTTGTAAGATAAAAGTCAGCATAATGTTGTTAATTAAATCAAGGGCAGTAGTGGTAGCACTGCACTTTAACATGTTTGATGTTCATCCAAATTTCAAATCCAAATTACTCAAGCCCCAGTAGTCCAATTTTGATTAAATTGATTTTTTTTAATTACCTTTCAAGACCTACCTGACTCCAGTGATAAAAATTTACTTGAATGTATTATAGCTTGTTAATTTATATATATTGTGCATTTTGAAAAAATGTAAAATGTCACCAGAGGGTACAACCAAAATCATTGGTGTAATGTTGATGGGATTAATCTAAAAAAGATCAAAGAAGTTAAAACAAATGACATAATTTTTCAGATTTTGAATCTTTTCATCAGTTCTCAAGGAAATAATTGCAAATTTATCAAACCAACCAACTTTTTATGCAAATTTTTGTTCCTTTAGGGTCTTATGCTCTTAAAACTTTTGCAATGTTGATGAAAAGTTGTCCAAACAGAATTTTATGATGATTTATCCAATTTTGGTGGTTTCAACATCATATTTTTGATTTTTAGTATAAATTCAATTTATGCTAAATTATAATTAATGTACTTTATTTATGTAATTTAATATTTAATTTAATTTAATTAATTTAATTTTAATTATGTAATGTAATTTATGTACTTTATTTATGTAATTTATGTGAGAATCGGGGTTTTAGCATCAAAGCTTAAACCATTTTCCGACAACGGGGCGGTGAGTCCCGCTCACAGGGTCAGTGGATGGCAATTTAGGAGGGCGAAAATCGAGTGGGAGGTCGCGGATAAGTCAACAAGGTGTTGACCGAGTACGAGTAAACACACATATTTAAGATAACATATATATATATATTTAATTAACTAATGATAGATATGAAAAGGTTACAATAATTAATAATGCTAATTTCTAACCGAGGTTACAATAGGCGGTTTTCCGGCATACATCTCGTATATTTACGATAAAGGATATTCTTTGATCCTTCGTAATATCTATTTCAGAGTTAGCTCTAGTCCACCTGAGAGAAGGGAGAGAATTCTACTTACTAATTTGTAGATTGTAGAATCTAACCGTGTTGTCCATCTTTGGCGGTCAGCGATGAGGATCGTCAATCCGTTATTTCCTTCTAAGTTGGAGGCCACCACGATACTGGCCGGGAGCCCTCTTTATACTGATTTTGTGGGGGTGAGAACTATGACGTTATTAATGATTTAGCCGCACACCTGCTAGTGTGTTGATATTTGGATCTAGCTAGTTCGGACAAATGACTCAGCGAAGTTTGTTTAATTTATTGTTATTGGTGTCAAAATGATATGATTTTATGATATAAATTCCTATAGGTTTGATGGCTCTCATCTATAAATTAACAATCATTTGACAATAATTTCTTTAACCTGGTCAACTATTTAGATATTGTTTATATCAAACGTCGAGTTTGACTATGAACAAGGCGATTTATTGCCGTAACCATGTGTTACGTGCAACCAAGAGGTGATAAGAAATATCTCTTATTCCCTTCTTATTGATACTAACGTCTATAGAATAATCGTTAAACAAATAGAGATGATTTCTCTTATTGATATTTTAACATTCTCCTTTTTTTTCTCTAATTTGAGGAGAGCGTCTCGGTCATTGACCGCAGAAGTCCCCCTTTTACTCTTTTACTAGGAAAATTCCTAGATTTATACTGATCTAAAACTAAAAAAGGGTTTCGGACCTTCACATTTATGCTAAATTTATAATTTATGTTTTAGCAATTAGTTTTTACTACTAAAATATTTTTCTTTGATTTATTAAGTTGTTTTTAGTAAACTTTAGAAATTTCTACACCATACAAATATATTACAGTATGAAGCATGCAATATGGCTTGGGAATTACTTACTGATGTCTTTTGTCTTCCACCAAGAAAATTGTATGTCACATATTTTGGAGGTGATGAATCTCAAGGTTTAGAACCTGATCTGGAATGTAAAGAAATATGGTTAAAATTAGGGTAATGTATATCTTTAAGATTTTTGCTATAAAAATAGTCTTCTTTTTTATTAAATATAGAAATTAAATTGTAAAAGGCATTATCTCAATAAATCAAATGTTCATAAAAATATTAATTTATAATATACTAATATTCTTAGAACTAATTAATAACATTATGCTGGCTTTCCACTTAGTGTAATTTTGAGGCGATTCAATCGCCTTTGTCATTGCTCATGTGAAGGAAAATCACCTTCTGGTTAGAATCACTTTCAAATACTTTAGTGACAGCACTGGGACAACATATATTTTTGCCAGGCGATTTTTCTGTTGCAGCCAATCAACATGCAGCATCCATAATTCCAAGCATATGTGACATCTTATTTTTACCCATTATTCTTACACTACAGTAATACCCCGAACTTACGCGATAGATGGGACTGAGCAATAACCGCGTAAGTCGAATTCGCGTAAGTCGGGGTATAATTTCGCAATTTGTGTAAAATCCAAATTGGATGTGTGTAAGCTAATAAATGTTCTCGTTAATCTTATCTCATCTTTCGATTCGTTCACGGTTGCAAGAAATCACCACATAGAGTCTCTTGAGTCTCCTAGATATAACAAACATGAAATAAATAAAACAAAATAAATTGTAGCTACGTGTCGATTCTGCGCGACACGTCCAAATGTGTAAGCCGAACAATAGTATGGGGAGAGTGAGTAGTCAACAGTTGCGTGGCGCTCAAACAAAAGACGAATCAACGAGATTTGAAAATCACATAACTCCGGGTTCGTGTAAGTCGAGGTATTACTGTATATACAACATGATGTGGAAAGTTCAGAAAGATGCAAAAAATAACAAATATTAGATTTTACAAAATTAAATTGAAAAATATAAAACTTTATTTTATTATAAGTTGAAAGTTTTGATGCCATTTTAAAAAATTTCCACAATTTATTGAAAATTGCCTTCCATTTTGTGCAAAGTGTGCAGGCACATAGAGCAGTGATTGCGTCACTCTATAAATCATCAGGTGATGGCGATGCGATTGCACTAAGTGGAGAGCCAGCATTACAGAAATGATGATAATTACATTGTTTAACTGTTCAAAATTTCACTAATTTAATTAAATATTAAAAGTTTACAAAACAATAATGAATATTTTACATCTAATTTAATCTAACTATTGTTAATAAATAATTTTATATGACAGCAACAGAAGCTTATAATTCACTTGACATATTTTGAAAACGTTGATATCATATTATAATTTTTAGTTTTTTTATGTTAATGATTTATAAAAATTATCTGTGTGATCTTGCACTGTTGTTTTTATTTGAAACATTTTTATGGTTTTTGTAACCCACTGTTTAACATTCCACAATTTTTACTTTTAATATGTTCACATTTATAAAAAATTTCACGATTTTTTGTATGATTTCTTTGCTATAATTTCTTTGCTTCAAGATGATTTCTTTATAGTCTTCATTGTTCATATTACTATCATAATACAGAAGATTCTCATTATTGTGACTACCTGTAACCTGTCAATTGATGTTAACAAATAGTTTTAATAAATACTATGTAATTTTGATCTCAAAGAATGTAATACTGCATGTATATGGCAATAGTAAATTATGCATTTTATTGTATGAGTGCAGTTTCTATTTTCAGATTACTTTGTTTGTGAATCTTATGCTTTTCAATTAATTGAGAATAAGAAAAAGCTCTAGAATTTTCAATTGTCTTTACTTGATATCTAAAGGAATAAGTATTATTAATTTAGATATTAAAATTTTATAAATATAAAAATAAGTAGATTATTTAAAATTTATTTTGTATTTTTTAATATTGATGATAAATTACTTGATTTGATTAATACCTTCAGATATATCAAGATAGTATTCAAATAATTTAGTAGTTTTTTTTTGTTTCAAAAATATTCCTTTTTACTTCAAGAAATGGTATCTCATTTTGTCATTTTGAACTTATTTTCTAATCCATAATTAGTTTTTCAAAGCCATAATGTAACAATTTGAAAAGTGACTAAAATTTGATCATTGAATCAAATCATAAATTCATTATTTAATATTAAATATTCTAAAGTAAATGCACATTGTTAGATGTTTTATGTACTATTTAAACAAAATAAATTGTGAAAACTATTTAATATTGTCTCTCTTACAGTGTTCCTAAAGATCATATCTTGCCATTTGGTATGGAACATAATTTTTGGGAAATGGGAACTACAGGTCCTTGTGGTCCATGTACAGAAATTCATTTTGATCATACTGATACAGGAAGTATTAAATATATAAATTCAGGAAATGCAAATGTTATAGAAATTTGGAATTTAGTATTCATTCAATATGAAAGGTAAGGTAATTGAATGTAACTTTTCAATAACAACAATTAAATTTTTGTAATTCATTTAGTTACTAACATACAGTTAAATCTAATTATAGGTATACTAATAAAATTTAGAACATAAACTGTCTATTATGGTGAGCAATTAAATAACAATGTTTAAATTTCAGCTTTAAAAGTTTAAAAATTTGTTAAAACTAAAAATATGTGATAGATTTGTAATGCTTGCTCTTGCTAATGAAAGTACTACAAAAAGCAATAGACAAACAACATTAGATTAATTACAGTGTTATTAAGTAGTAATAATAATTATAATTAATAAATATTCAATATCTGTCATAGATGCAAACAAAGTATTTAAAAAAAATTAAATATTCTTTTACTATTATAAGTCAATAAAACCAGAATTTTCAGCAATTGAAGTCTTATTTACTTACCCCATTTCGTATTATCGATTGGTTATTGTTATCAGTACAGACAAGTACTAAAATGACTACAATATGGATGAATATGAACTTTAAATATGAGAGCATTATATTGGTTTTACATTATAACATATATTCCTTTTTTTTCCCTCTTATTTCTTATGCTCACTTGATCCTCCTATGTTCATTTTTTATCCTAACTTGATCCTCATGTTATGTTTAATGATATAGCCTGAGAATTTTATTTTTGTTTTATAACTGAGTAAATCACATTGCTGACTGGCATCTTCAAGACTTTGTTTTATTCCTAGTCCATAGAATTTTCCTTATTTTTCTCAGAAGCAATGTTTCAATACTGGTAATCTTTCTTAGCTATTTTTGAAACTATTATATTATATAATGGAGTATTGCTTGCATATAACATTTAGATTATCAATTTTTGACATTTTGCACTGTCCACATGTCTTAAATGTTTTAAATGTCCACTTGTACTCCAATAAAAATTTTGTTCAATTTTTATCTTAGGAGTAAGATCATCCCACTTTCTTGCATGCATTTTAGCCTAAGCATAAATGAAATTAAAAAGAAAAATTCTCTGTTTATTCATCAATATAAAAGTATAAAAAAATGTTTAGGTTTAGGTTATGAATTTATAACAAAAAAAATTACATAATTATATATTTAAATTTAACATTGGTATTGATATAATTTTTAGACTTCATATTATAAAAAAAATATGCCTTTTTCAATGAAAAACATTCTATCAGAAAGTTTAATCAAAGAAGAAAAATTTTATTTTAGATGATGTAATATAATTGCATATCCAGAATATAAATTTATTTGTCAATGTTTAAACAAAAACTAATGAAATAATAACACAAAATAAGATATCAAATTACAAAAAAAAGAAAAAAATGCAAAAAGTAGTGTGTTTTAAAGTTGTAATAAGATAAATAATGAGTTTAAGTAAATACTTTATTATAAAGTCTAATTTTATTTTTGTTGTTTAAAAATACATTGTAATTAATATATCTCTACTATGAAGTCTCACATTTCTAGAGTGCATGAATTCCAGGTTAAGAGCCACAGATTAGAGTCTTAGATAAATTTTCAGTTGTAGTTCTCATGATGATTAAGATACTTTTCATTCTATGAAGCTTTCTGAACAATTTTTATTCTCTTTTTCAATCTATTTATTCTTTATCCATATTTGTAAATTAGTTGCTTCATATATATTTTTGATAAAAATACTTTAGCTTAAATTATTTTTTAAATTAAACATAAATCATACTGTATTTTAGTGGATTTTAATTTTGGGCTATAATTCTGCTCTTTTTGACTGAATTACTAATAATGATTTTAATCTAGTATAAATATGCTGCCATCTCATACTAAATTTAATAATTTAAATTGATTTATTCTAATAAGTAAAATTATAGTGCAGAAAGAAAATCCAGAAAAATTTGGCTTGTATCTAAAATTAATGTTAATTATAAATTATTGTAATCTGGAAAATTTAATAATCACATAATCCAAATTATTTGACTTATTAGAAATTGTTTACATGCAAAGTTTTTAATGCTAGGAGGAATTGTTAATAATGTTTCTTATGCTATATAATTTCTTGGTGTACTAAAGATAGCATTGCTGCTTAAAAAGATTTTAAAAAATTAAAATTAACAAAGTAAATTTTTATGATTCAAATTATTATGATTACATTTTAAATTTAAGTAATTAGTATAATGTTTAAAAAAAATAAATGAAAATATATTTTTAGGATTGCTGATGGAAGTTTAAAAAAGTTACATAATTATCATGTTGATACAGGAATGGGATTAGAGAGATTAACTGCAGTTTTACAAAACAGCAGATCTAATTATGATACTGATTTATTTCTACCTCTTTTCAATGTTATTTCCCAGGTGAGTTAAGGAAAAAATTTGTTTTACAAATATATTTAATTATATAAACTTTATTTTATTAATTTGATGATTTAGATTAATGATTTTTTGCCAGTATAATTTTGCAAAATTTTTTACAGAAATGTAGTTTCACTTTTTTAGTAGAAAGCAAAAGCTGTATCTATATATTTGATTTTGTGCATATAATCCATAATGGCACATACCTTACAGAAAATTGCTATTATGAGAAAATTGCAAGAACTAAAATAAAGCTTTTATTTTAACCACTCCACTATGTATTCCATGCCTTAGGGGCAGCTATTAAAAGCAAGGTAATTACTGATATGCAGTTTAGAAGTTGCCATCTCAAGCATTAAAATATTGCTTTTTCTGTTAACAAATCATTGCAGATATACATAAACAACCAAACCAAAATAATCCATAATAATCATATTAATTTCTGGACTATTCAGACTATAGTTTGGTTAACTATTAATAATTAGAATAAAATACCATAGTATATTTAAGTCATTTAGTGACTTAAATATACTATGTATTTAAGTCATTCAGTGACTTAAATATACTATGGTAATTTATTCTAAAAAGTAAAATTTTTACAGCTCTGTTAAAAGTAAAATGGATTATTTATGTTTAAAAGATAATTTAAACATAAATAATCCATAAGTTATCCACAAGAAATTATGGGAATTACTAAATTGTGAATGTTTCAGATTTGATATAAAATGTTTGTTTATGATTTTTTTCTCTTCTGTTTTCTGCTAATTTTATTATAAAATATTTTCTATATTAATTTACAAAGAATACAAAACTGGCTCTAATTTAAATGTGCTATCATAAAATGTTTAATTGTAGTCAATTAAATATCATGAAATGTCTGTGAATGGAATTGTAACATAGTAGTATTACAATCAATAACAGAATGAGCAGCTCTCATAATTATATTTATGATTTTAAATAATTCTAGAAAAGTTTAGATGAAAAACTAGGCAATATCATTAATTATTTGAAAGAGAGAGAGAAATTTAAATTTGATTTATCTATCCTCTTTCCAAATATTTCTAAACTTAATTGTTAATTTATTTAATTACTAAGTAATCAACATATGATGATAAATCTATTCAATCACAGTACATAACATTTTTCCAAAATCAACATTGAGTTAAAAAATAATTGTTTAAAATAAATATGTATTTTTTAATTTAATCATGAAGAAGTGCAAAGTCAGACCTTATGCAGGAAAATATGGAATTGATGATTGTGATGGCATTGATACAGCCTACAGAATTCTTGCAGATCATGCTAGAATGATGACAATAGCAGTCAGTGATGGCGTTCAGCCTTCAGAATTTGATGCTGGGTAAGTTAATACATTTAAATTATATTGTTATTTTTATTTTTTAATAAGTCATTAAATCTTAAGTTCTTCTCTAATTTATATTTATTTTATGGTAGTAAACTTAAATTAATTACTATAATTAATTTAACTTATTTCTAATTAAAAAAGTAAGGAAAAACAAAATCAAAAGTTTTAATTTATATTTATATCAAAAATACTTTATTATAGCATTGAGCAAAATAAAATATAATATGATCTTGTTTTATGCAGTGTGTATAGTACATGTTGGCAGGTATCATATAAATTGAAAATTCCACATAAAAGTCTCAAATTAACTTAAGGTCTGTTAGGTTTGTTTATTTATTTTATAAAGATTTAAAACAAAGAACAGATAGAAATAAAAAATGCTAAACAAATTAAAATTTTGGAAAGAAAAGCAATCTCAAAATCTGAAGCTCAGCAGCCAAATGGCTGAGGTGATTAAGGCATCATCCTATCACTCTACGTATCCAGGATCAAGTCTGGAACAAACAACTTTCCAGGAATTTTCATGGGCAATCTTTCTGGATAAGTTAAGTTGTCTTTACCATCAAACTGTCATAGCGTGGGCCTGACAAACCTACATAAGTATGAAAAAGGAGTTAAAAAAAATACTAAAACTTTAAGTGAAATAATCATATTTATAGGGAACTTTCTAAAAATTTAATTGATATCAATATTTCTGTTTAAGATATCTTTTTTCATATAATAATGGCTCATTTTGTGTACATTTTGAAATGCCACAAAAAGGCATTGTCACAAACAACAATAATTTGGTAATTATAGTTAAAGAAGTGTAAGCAAAACAGGATATGAATTTTAATTAGTTAGGTGTGTGTATTCTAAATGTATGAAATCTCAATTTAAAAATATACCTCAATACACCTAAATAAAAATTATCTAAATTAGACAAAAATATTTTATTTAGACTTTGTTAAAAATATATAGATTTTTCATTCTTCATTCTTTAAAAGTATTGTAGAAATACCAAAGTTCAGTAAATATATTTAAACACAGACTTTGAAATCTAGATTTGACTTGGACTTTGACTTGTTGAGTCAAAATACCAGGTTTTGCCAAACCTTAGTCCCAGATGAATACCTCTTGCCTAGACACTTATGTAACCATTTATAATTAACAAAAAATTGTCAAAATGTGTTGAAAATGTTTTACTTATGATTATAATGTTATATTAAAATAATATATTTCTTAATATATAAAATTTTATCATCTATTAATATTATTGTCTGCTTATCTGCTCACCATCAAAGAAATGAGTTATGAAAGATGATGAATCATTCTCATCAATGAGTTGCTTCTGTCATGTAGGAAAGGATTACTTAGCAGCCTAACAATTAGCTGAAGTGGACCCCTCCATAATCTTTACATTGCTTATTGAATAATGCCTTTTGGAATCAGTCTTTACTAACAACAAAAGTGATGCCTGCATTGCTGCTGGTTGAGGAAGTCTGTTTCTTAAATCTGATAAATGCATGAAGATCTTGGCAGAACTCATACTAAATCTACAGGGAAGTTTCTATAGTAAATTGAATAATTGATCACACTGTAAAGTTTTATCTGCCACTTTTGAATCACCCTCTTTATTATCTTAACTAGCAGATCCCGCCACGCGTTGTTGTGGCTCAAAATGTATCTATTATAAATTTATAACACTTCCCCCGTGGGGGAATTTTTCGAAAAATTTCTTCTTAGTGTACATTCTCTTGACGTATCCTATTAAAACGCAATCAAAAACACAAAAACCCACATCTAAAATAGTATAATAGAAGCAGAGTTCTTTATGGTAAGCCTTAATCCCATCCATCTCCCGGGGGGATTTCGACATGTATATTATATAAAAACACGTGTGTATTCGAATGCTGCGTTGTGTCAAAATTTCAAAGGAATCGGTAGGAACAAATGAACATTACATTTTTATTTATATAAATAGATAGATGATCTGCTTTAGTTCATTTTTACAGAAAAGCATAATGCCTCACAGAAAAGCAAACTTAAGGGGGCATACTCGTAGCGCCATCTGTTGGACATAAAAGCCTTAACCCTAGATGATATAATTTAATTTATATGAATGTTTAACGGAATAATATACAGCCTATGTCCACCCTGAAGTTCCATTCTAAATATTGGTGAAAGAATTTTTGAAATCGGATGAGTAGTTTCGGAGATCACCTGCTGCAAACAAACTTACATACAAACATTACCTCTTTATAATATTAGTATAGATTATAATTCAGTATGTGATTTAAAATAATAGTGAAGTCTTCATAGGGAGAAAAATAGTGAGGTCTTCGTGGAGAGAAAAACAATTTTTAAAAATTTTAAATTTGAAATAAGTGTTTATTTTAGCATTCTTTGAGTACATTTGATACAGGTTTTAGTATTATCTGATAATGGAGCAAAAGATGTACCAAAAAAACATTATTAACCACTCAGCAGTGAAGGACAGATATATCCATCTAGGGCAATCGTGTGGCAGTGGTGAAGGATGGCTATATCCAATAAATTCTTTGGGGGTATTGCCAAAAACTACCGCAAAAACAAAATTTACATAAGAAATGAATTATGTAACAACAAAAAAAGACTCTTCTTTACTAGACATAACTGTTTACAAAATCTTTTTCTGAAACAGTAATGAGAAAAAAAAAACGTGTGAAAAAATACTTTAAAAATTTCCCATGTTTATTCTCCACTACTTTATAGCACCATACCTGACTGTTCCACTGTTGAAAGGTTAATTAACACAGTCATTGCTTGTAGAAAAATCCAATTTCCCTAACAATACATTGAAAAATTTTTCTCTTTACATTTAATTATAATATGGATCCAAAATTTTTGTTTTGGATTTGGGACCTTGAAACATTGAAAAATGCAAAAAAATAAAACATTACAGGTTTTTTTTATATGTATGAATGTTTGTGTATGTGTGGGAACACAGTTTTTTTTATCCACTTTGAAGCCTAATTCTTGTGATTTTGTTGAAAATTTCTGAAATTTTGCAGGGAGGTTTGTATATTAGGGAAAATGTTTCTAGAAATTTCCAGGAAAATCAGACCATTGGTTTGGGCGATATTAAGGGGGTGGGGAAAATATCCCAAATTGCTTCCAAATTATGAAATTTTTTTACTTGTACAGATTTTTAGTTTACCAAAAAATAAATTAATATATTTCTTTCAAAATTTTTTCAAAAATCATTCCCACTCCCAATATTAGCATTTTTCTGATTTTTTTTTTTATAATGTTTGATGGAACAAACCAATTGTTCTTTTTTCAATATGTAAATTGTAAATTAATAAAATAATTTTAAGAAATTGATATTTCTCTAACTCCAACTCTTGGTCCAGGGTAAAAATATAAACTATTTTTTAAAATGGAATTCATTGAGATAAATAATTTATTATTATTAATCATAATTTTTATCAAAATTAAACTGAAAAATCTTTGTTGTTTGAATCCTGAAGAGGCGAAGAAGGTAATATTTTTTAAAATAGCTAAATGACCCCCATTTTGAGTAATCATTTGTATTAGTAATTCAGATTACATATAAAATGTAATTTGAAGACTTAAAAATAATGGTAACAATTTATTAAGGATGAAAACAAACTAAAGAGTCAGTAATAATGTTGCCAGCTTTTTCCATAGGAAGAAAAAGAACATGATGCTTGTTTGTTCTAATAAAAGCTAATATACAGAATACTAATACTAAAACCAATGGGTGAAATATATTTTTTGAATTGTACAATGAATGATAAAAACCACTATTTTCTTATAAATACAGGATAAAATTTTCTTGAGTGATAATATAATCAAACTTTGAGGACACACACAAACACCTTTAACATATTGGGTAAGACAGTGTAGGATGCTCCAAAACATCTTTGATGCTTAATGTGTTAAACAAATAAATTTGGACTGTTAATTTTTTTACTGTTTATATATCCCTTTTATATCAAAAATATTTGAGTTGTTTATGTAATGAAAAGAACAAGTCAAACTTTTTGTAAATTAAAAATTTTTATTTTTCTAGAAATAAATTTTGTAATTATTTACAGTATATTATTTATAGATACCTTGTATAATAAAATAATAATAATGATAATAATAATACTTTATCAAAGTATAATGTAAAATGATTATATTATGAAGAAATTGTTTATAGAATATATATAATTATATATGTTCAACAAATAGTTTGTGTGTAATTGAATTGATGTAGAATATTTTATTTAAAATTTTAACCTTGTTTTAATTAGAAATTGCTTAAGAAGAATTATTAAAAAGGCAGTTATGGTTGCAGACAACCAATTAAAGGCACCTCCATCATTTGTGTCAACTCTTATTCCTTATGTAGTTGAAATTTTAGGAGAAGCCTTTCCAGATATAACAGAGAATGTTGCAAAAGTAAGAAAATATTTTTAAATCTAATTTAAATTAAAATTATTTTAAACAGAAAATAATATAATTTATTTAAAATCTTATTATTTCACAAAACCTAATTTATATGCAAGAAACTTCATGAAAAATATAAATTGTAATTTGCTCAATATTTTAATTTTTCATATATTAAAAACTATTTTAAAATGAGTACCATACCGTCAAATAAACTATTCCATTATAAAATCTACTTTATAATGAAAATATTTTGTTTTATTTTTTGAGTTTATATTTTTCTGTTTTCTGCTTTGCATAAATTATTTTGTTTTTGTCAAATATCAAAACATATCTTTTACAATATTCATAAAATATTATTATTCAAATAAGAGGATATTTTTTTTAATACAGTGATGCCTTGTACTCTGAGCTTAATTCATTCCAGGGGGACATTTAAACTCTGAATTGTTCAAACTCAAATTAATTTTTTCCATTAGAAATAATAATAAGTGATTTAATTCATTCACAGATCCTAAACACTACTTATTTTGATAAACTTAAAACAGCAAGTACACATAATAATAAATACAAAACACTGGAACAAAATCAACAATACACTAATACAAACAATAAACTAATCAATGGATTAATTAAACATTACCACCGCTCCACACGTGTGTCCGCCATCAGCTCACATGACCTTTGGAGGATAAGACATGGGTACCCATCACCTATAATCCGTACATTGCTTCATTATATAAGGAGATCGCCAACAAATGCTGCATTAACATTGCATACAGAAGGTGTCCGACTATCTTGGACATTCTCCGTAACGAGATGGATTCCCTCGATCCCAACAGACTCCCAGGTGTTTATTCTATACTGCTTAAGGACCACAGGTGTGACAGGAACCTTGTGTACATCAGTTCAACCAAATATTATAATCATTGGAAATCAGAATATGTGAATACAATGCACACATCCTGCATGGGAGGAACTCTATCGCTCTTGCGGTTTATGCGGCTGATCCTGACATCGAGGCGCCCTTCGACTAAGTGAGGCTCATCATCTCTTCGCTTCACCCCAAGCACCTAAGGTGGTTGGAGGTTATCTCCATTTACAAATCTAGCTGCACCATCACATGCATAAATTATAGAGAGGAACTTATTCTGTCTGTTGCCTAGTAGGCCCTCATCAACATGGACCTTTAATCGTCATCTACTCGCAGTGCATGCTCATGTTCAATCTTATGTTTTTAAATCACAAGTGGGTTCGATTTTGGTTAAATATCGATATTCTATTTTTTGTTCTATGTTCAGTTGCTTTTTATCATCTGAAGAAGAAGTAGGAAGGTTTGAAAATGTTTACGATTTTTATTTGTTTTTTCTCCAACACCGATAACTGGTTCAGGTACGTGTTAAAAATAACACAGTTAAATGCCATAATAATAAATTAAAACACAAACAATAAATAAAATACATAAATACTATATAATAAAATGAAATTGTATTTACTGGTGACACACTTTCGAATTTGGCATTTTAAACATGGCCATCTGATCTGCCATATGTGTAATGCTTTTTTGTTTTGCCATAAGTTTCTTTTTCATCTCAATAATGGATATTACAACCTTCTTCTTAGACTCTATTGCTTCCTGTTGATACTTAATTACTTGTGTGATTTAATTATAATAATTGTGATAATTAACACATTATTGCTGTGAGATTGTATTCTTTGTTTAGAAGCTTATTTTACACTTTTTATTCACAATTTGTTTGAATAAAATCAAGTTGAAATGTCTTTAAATAAAAAGCATATCAGGCTTATTACACTTTTGAGTTTTAGAAAGATCAATGTTGTGCAAACAGTAAAAGAAGTTTGTAATGTGTATGGAGAAGCTGCTTCTAAACTTTGAACATGTAAAATGTGGTTTAAAAAGTTCCAACATTCAGGAAATTTTGAAGTAAAGGATATAAAATGTACAGATTGCCCAAAATCTGATGAAGAAAAATTGCAGGAAGAAATTGTTAAAAATCAATGAATAACACAATATGTATGAACAAACACACCAAAAATAAAGCAAAAAAAGCTCTGAATACATAAACGTAATGCAAGAGTGAGAGATGACTTAGGAACACAACAAATTGTGTTTATTCTTTGAAAGCATTTTTCACTTGCATGTAGTTCAAACTTTGAAACATTGTTCAAACTCCAAAGTGAATTTTTGACAAATTTAGTATTTGAACTCTGAAGCATGTAAAGTACAAGGTACCATTGTATTATTATAAAGTAATAAAATTACCAAACCAAAATTACCAGGTTACCAAAAACTTTTATTCACAATCAAGGATAAAATTTTGATATGATCCTAAAATTGTAATCTTAGAGTTAAAATACAAAAGTGATTTGTAATGCTTAATTAATAAATAAAGCATTCAGAAACATTAATTAATAGATTATATTATGAAGAAATTGTTTATAGAATATATATAATTATATATGTTCAACAAATAGTTTGTGTGTAATTGAATTGATGTAGAATATTTTATTTAAAATTTTAACCTTGTTTTAATTAGAAATTGCTTAAGAAGAATTATTAAAAAGGCAGTTATGGTTGCAGACAACCAATTAAAGGCACCTCCATCATTTGTGTCAACTCTTATTCCTTATGTAGTTGAAATTTTAGGAGAAGCCTTTCCAGATATAACAGAGAATGTTGCAAAAGTAAGAAAATATTTTTAAATCTAATTTAAATTAAAATTATTTTAAACAGAAAATAATATAATTTATTTAAAATCTTATTATTTCANATCAAACATATTTTTAGACCCATCTAAAAATTCTCTAAGGAGACCCAATTCTTGCATTCTGTGAAAACGGGTAAGGCTAACTGTAACGTAATAATCTTTATCTTAGTTATCGTTACTTTTGCCCGAGCAACGCCGGGCCAACCTGCTAGTAAATATATATTAAAAAGTTAAAAACCAATGATATAAGTATCTCAAATATTCAGCTTAAATTTTGTGAGAATTCTTTGATTTTTAAAGTTCTTTGTGTCTTATAATTTATTCCTTCTTACATCTTATTATTATAATCTCAAAATATAAACTGTTCAAGCATCTAATCTCAATCAGTAATATCTTATTATTGTTTATTACTAATTTTTTCAGAATAAAAAACCAACAAAATTATCAAAAATAAATTTTTTTCTGTCAAGACTTTCCATGAAATTTCTATATATATATAAATAGATGTGTGTGTCCCTATATTTCACTTTTCAGCCAAAACTACACATCGCACATGAATGGTGTTTGTATGTAATAGTAGCCCCAANGAGAGGTTACGTTATCATATAAAACAGACTGATAAATTTCTTGATAAAATTGCTTTAAAGACCAAATTTTTGTCAGGTAAATAAAGAACTCATATACAGTTAAGTTTTTAGTACTAGAAATTTTTTAGTTAAATTATAAAATTGTACATTATAATAAATTTTTATTCATAATTAAAACTATATTGAAAAAATTATCTATAATTTCATTCAGGAAATGATGCATTTCATTTATTTATTCAAAGTGGATTATCAGAAGATTTAATTGAAAAAATGGCCAAAGATAAAGGGCTAACTGTGGATGAATCCTTCAGAGAAAAAATAAAAATGAATTTGGCAAGTAGATTTTTTAAAATTATCATTTTATTTATTTGAAAAATGCAATTATTTAGATAACAAAAGTTTGAATTTGTGCTTTTTATTAGCTTTTAGAAAAACATTTTCTATCAATGTACTTAACATAAAAAGACTAATATCAATTGCAATTGATAAATCATGTGTATCATGTTAACATTGAATTTTTGTAAAATTCAAATTTATTTCAGAGTGATGGATAGATATTTATATAAGGAATTGTGTTTTTTTTTAATTTAAATTTAAAATAATGTAATGTACTGTAATTATTAAATTTATTTAATATTTAAATTATTGAAGGTAACATTTTATTAATCTTCAGAACAATTTTATAGAATGTTTATCACTTACAAGGAGATGGCCAGACATTTGTATCTCCGATTTGAATGAAACTTTGTCAGCATGTAACCCTAAACACAAATAGTTCCTAAACACTAAGTAGGACCCACTTCAGTGGGTCCTACTTAGTGTTTCAGGCTACATGTTCACCAAGTTTCATTCAAATCAGAGATGCGAATATCTGGCCATCTCCTTGTTAGTTCAATCTTTTATTTAAGTTTATTATTTCTGTAATAAAAAAGTTTTAATTATTTTTATTTTTTACTCTGTACAAATCTCTACACTTAATTTCTAATGAAAATGTAAAATTATTGTTTTTCTTTTTTTATTTAAAATATTTCTAATAAATTGATACATTTGAGTAGAGTAGCATATAATTATGTAAAGCAGTGTTTCCAAAAATATGGTACACATATCTCTGGGAACATGTGAAAGATCTTCAGGTGTTACATGGCAATTTTTGACTATATACTGGTACCATTGATGCATAGAATCATTATTAAGAAAAATTATTGTAGTAATGAATTATTTTAAATATGTATATTTTTCAATGAATTCTATATTTTTTATGAATTCTCCTATTTAAGTTGTGATAAGCACTGCATTTAGAAGTTTGCTAAAAAGCATTTTTTTGCAAGAGAGTACGCAGTACTTAAAAAAATTTAAGAAGGATACGCAGATGTCAAAACTTTAGGAAATACTGCTCTAAAGAATATATTATTTGGTCTTTGAAAGATTTTAGGTTTTAATTTATAAATTTCAAGAAAAGAATTAAATAGGTTCTATATAACTTTGTCCATTAATTATAATAATTATAAATAAAACTAAAATCAGTCAAGTGTGGTATCTTTTGAATATTCATTGAAAAGTTTTTGAAGAATTTTCAAATATATATATCTTAATTTATTTTTCAGGATAATTCTAAATCTGTAAATAACGAAAATCGGGAAAAACAAAACTACCCATCTTCTCATGTTATTGAAGAATTAGAAAAAATGAAAATTCCTTGTACAAATGATGAATATAAATATAATTATACTTCCTGTGATCATCATTACAGTAAGAACATTTTTATTTTATTTCATTATAGTGAGCATTTATAAAAGTTTACAGATTTTGGAATTAGCTTAAAGAGGAAAAAAGACAATCAATTTCAAGTGTAAAACTGAAAATAAGTTGAAATAAATTTAAAATATATTTAACATTCTGTTTAAGATGTTTAAGATTATTACATTCATTTTCAACAAATACCATAGTTTAAAACTAAGATCCATTTCTCTTATTTTCATGTTAAATTAAGATTAAAAAAAGTCAATAAAGCAATTGATTTTTTTAATGATCCAAAAATATTTGAAAATATCAAAGTTATTAATCAAATTTGTTTGTATTTCTTGTTTAATAAGTACTTTAAACTACCCAGTTAATAAGGTAATTAATGATTAATTAATAAATTAAATGCAGTATTATATAATTATATTTTTAACTTGGACTTTTAAGTTATGAAGTTGTTCTTATCTCTTTAGGTATGGTAATTAAAAAATTATTGACATTGAATTTCTAATTATTAAATAAATTAAAAATGAATCACTATTATATATATATATTTTAAAACAAGATTTAATACTAATTACTTATAGCATACTCATACTAACAGTAACAATTTTTCATAATTGTGACTTTTTGGAAATTATGGAAAAGCCATATTGTAGAGAAGTTCAATAACTTCAAAGATTAAATGTCATACTACATAATTTGTTTTAAGATATTTATTTATTATACGTAAACTTTATTATAGCATAATAATTTTATTAACTTTTATTTTGACTCATAGAAATACAGTGGTGCCTCATATAACGTACTTAATCCATTTCAGGTGCACGTCCGTTAAGTGAAAAGTCCGTTATAAGAAACACATTTTCCCATAGAAATACATCTTAAAACATATAATTCGTTCCGTAGCATAAAATAACTGTACTGTTCCATAAAAAAAAATGAAAATGGAGCAGTCACCAATTATGCCGGGTAGTCAGATGTTGTGAGGAGGAGGTGGAAGAACACTTTCTTTACACATTCATAGAGATACAGACTTTTTACACATTGCAGTAGGTCTCTTTTTATTGTTTTTTAATAGGAGTCAGATTCAGGAGAGGCTACCGGAGCTTGCAGGATGATCTCCTCTTGTTCCATCCTTTGTTTTTTGGCAGCTGGCTTCTTGTAAAACATGTTCAAGGTGGTCTGTTTCTCTCTCTTCTTCAACACCTGTCGGAAATGACAAGCAAGGGTGTCATTGTAGAGATCATTCATTCTGTTGGCCTCAGCTGTGTTTGGATAATGAGTGTTGGTAAACTCCTGAACCTCTCCCCATTTGACAAGAAAGTTTTTGTCAACTTTCTCCTTCTAATGATTTTTTGCTTTATTTCAATTGAAATCACCTTTCTGTTCTTTTTAGAAACCATGATTTGTACAACACTTGAATAAATGTAAATACCCTGCACTGAGGTGATGTACAGTACGTAATAAACAAGGGAGCAAGCCGAATCCCAACGGGAGCTCTGTACTTCAGATATACTAATAATATATTCTAATAATACTAATATATTATAAAAATAGCAGATTGTCANTTTATATAAATATTAAAAATAAATTATTTAAAAAATAAGAACAGTAAGTGTGTATACTTTGCACTAATTTTTTTTCTTTAGAAGTCTTTGCAGTCTGTTATATTGGAGTTCTAAATGTAATCTATTGAACATGTATTCTGAAACATCTAACTGAATCTCAGTACTGAAGCTTTCTTACTTTTTTTTATACACCAAAAAATATGGTTAAAAGTATCCTCATATAGATACTTTACACCACTTTAAAAATTACATTGATAAAAAAGCAGGAATGGGCATGAAACAATGTTTTCACTTGGCAATGTTAGTTTAAACCATGCTTACAAGAGCAGACTATTTGAAATAAGTGCAGTAATTTATTAACAGTATCTAAGAGATGTATAAGAGAGATACATAATTAAATTATATGATTTTCCAATCACAATTGATATACTTGTCTTAGAGGCATTGCAGACATTTTCTAGATACTTGAACCATGTTTACTTGTAACTCTTTTGGATTCTAGGTCATCAGTTAGGTTAGTCTCATCATAATTCCAAATGTTTTCAGAGGGTACTCCTCCAAACTTTCTTTTAAATTGTCTATGAAATCTGTAAATGTTTCCTTTGTTATTGACACACTAGTCTTCATGTTTGCTGCAAAACATAATGTTAGTTGTAGTTTTCTTTTTAAAAAACCTCTCAATCATTGTTTTCCTGATCAATTATTTACAAATTATTTCATTATTCTCCCAGTCCAAACCAAATAAGCATGAACAATGCAGTATAGTTTAGACCTGTCATATTCAACCCGCGGCCCACTCACCTGCCACCCATGTTTTTGTGCAGCCTTTTAAAACAGTAATTATCTTATATAGATTTTTATTAGTGAAATATCACATGTATAGTTAAATACATTAATATAATGTATAACACCTTATCATGTACACTCAGAAATTAAAGCAGTTATTAAATATTTTTTTAACAAAGCTTAAAATATATGAATGAAAATGACCAGAATGTTCCTGAATTACAAGATGGACAGTGGGGCTTTTGGATTCATGTTTCCTTTCAAATATCACAATAAAATTAAACAAACTTAATAAGCAGCTTCAAGATAAAAACAAATTGATCACAGACCGTTATCAAAATATAAATGCATTCATAGCAAAACTCAACTTTATGAGTCAGTTAAAATCAAAAACTACAATCCATCTCCCAAAATTACATACATTTAATAGTAACAAAAACATTTTTCTAAATATGCACAAGAAATTACTAATTTACTAAGAGAATTTCAAGAGAGATTTTCATATTTAAAAATTTATGAGAATGTATTTAATATTTTCTTATGTCCATTTGACATTGTTGTGGAACAAGTTCCAATAAGTTTGCAGATAGATTTAATAGATTTCCAGTCATCTTCTGAATTGAAATATATGTTTGAGGCAAATGACAAAGCTCAGTTTTTTACAAAATATGTCTGTAATGATAAATTCCCTAACCTAAAAACTGGCAATGAGTCCATTGCCAGTTTTAAATACATTCTCATAATACAAATGAGCAATACAGTTGCAATGGGAATCACCTAGCTTTGTGAATCTTTTTTCTCAAAACTGAAGATTGTTAAATGTAAAAGTCATAATAGATTGACCAATATGAAATTAGAAAACCAATTATGTTGTACAACATCACAAATACCTGCTGATATTAAAAAATTAAGTGAAAAAATTGAAAAGCAAGTTTCACATTAAAATACATAACAATTTCGGTAGGACAACAATGGTTTAGACTCATCCACAGGAAACCCAAAGTCACTCATGCAACAGCAAAATCAGAAAATGTTCTCCTTTACTCCACCTCTACAGTGGTACAAAATAACCCCAACATAACCAAAATGTTTATATGCATTTGTGCTTTATTTGAACTGTAGGTTTTAAGCATAAAATGTAGGAAGAAATCATTTATTTATAAGATTTCAACATAATTAGAAATGAAAAAAATATATATTCACCATATTATAACTTTGAGGCTTTGGAATACACACAAAAGTTGAAAATGTCAATATTTTGTTTTTTCTTTCTGTCTAAAGTTCAATCAAGAGTTTAGCCAGTGCAAAGAATTGTGGGATGTCCAATTCAATTATGAAATGTGCTATAATATGTCCACTGTGAGATAAAATAAGAAATGCATTCAAATGATTCATATTTTACTTCCCACAGGTCGGTAAAAGTGATTTGAAAAGTAGTGCAAAGTTTCCCTTATAGGTAAAGTATCCACACTTTATGGCAATATTATCAATACTATTATTGCAATTATTTTTAAAAATCACAAAAATCTTATTATAATAATTACATGGAATAAAACTTCAATTTACTTATTACTGTTCAAACATTAAATTTGTTATAAAAACACAATTGAACTATCATACAATAAAATACAGTAGAGCATCGATTATATGAATCAATTGGGAACTGGGGTTGTTCGGAAAATCCATTTTTCAAATACCTGATTATGTATGAAAAAATATATTAACCTATCACATATTGAAATTTGTTCAAATCCTGGCATGTTCTTAATTAAATACCCTCTCATGGTCATGTGACACCAGTGCTGCTAGCTAAAACACTCAACACCAACAAAAATAATATTGGAGTAGCCCAAGACATAGCCAAAGATTGCAGCGCCACAGCACTAGTGAAAATTTAAATTTGCCGACTGGAAAGTTTTTGGTTAATTGATGTTTCGGTTGATCGATATTCAGATAATCAATGCTCTACTGTACTAAATCATTGCCAGTTAATCTGTAATTATTATTGTAACTTTTAAATATTTATACATTTGTTTTCTCTAGTGATAATTCATTGAAATTTTTTTAAAGACAAACTATTTAGTTTCAAGATGTCTTTCAGTTCACTTCTGAAACATTGAGTTTACAAAATAATCTTCTAAAATTGATCTGATGTAAAAAATGGGACAAGAAATATTTTGAAACTGTGATTTAACAAATGTTACATCAAGTTCTTTCAGCAGAACCATAAGTAATTATATAAGATAAGGCATACTGTAACAAACTAATTTCTTTTCAAGAAAATGCATAGAAACATCATCATCATCATCATCTCTGTAATGTTAGAATTAAAATAAAATTAATATATATCTTAATTAATTAAATAAATACTTTAGCCTTCTTAAAACTAGTAGGATATAATTTTTAAGAATCTATGAGTAAGGAGCTTTAGAAAATGTCAAGATTTACATATATCAGAGTTTATAATACAGATTCTTCCAAAAAGAATGCTACCATTTTAAATTACTGTAATTTTATTAGTTATTACTTGAGAAGTATGCAACGTAATGTACATCAATTGATAAGAGCACATGTCCAAGTTTAATCTATCATCTGCATATAAACATCTTTTTGTCTGCTGCCTCTAGAAAATGCAATGAACAAGAATGGCAA